TTTACTCACAGGAGAGACTGTTACAAAGAAAGGGGAGTCAACATATCTTCCCCATGCTTCTTTCCATACAGTATCATCACTGGGTATCTCTGCTTACATAGGACACAAATATCTATTTCACTGAAGAAGAGGAAGCTGTGAAAGTCTCTGTCATTTTAAAAGAAGATGGATTTTTCAAATGAAAACTCTTGCTAGGTGATTGTAATGCTTCAGTTTCTTTTGGATAGGGAGGGTTTTCCTATCCATCTAGAAAGCCTACTTTTCATTTGAAATGCAATTTCTTAATTAGTTCATGCACATCACTAAACTGATCCAAACTTTCAGCAAAAAGGTAATCAGAAATAACTAAAACTTCCTTACCAGCACCCAGAGAAGGAACCAACAAAGAAAGGGCTCAATGTCAGGTAGAGAAATAACATAACATTCTTATTACTGAAGTGCTTTATTGTGGAAATAGTGAAGTGGAATGCCTAAGGGAAAAAAAAAAAAATCTCTGTTTGGGGAAGAGGGAAATGTATTAAACTGTGTTCAAAGACACGTCGTCTCTTCAGAATTTCAAAGATGATCCCTGAGCCAGAAGACCGCTGGTTCGAGTTCTGCCAGCACAGACTGCTGGCACCGCCTCACGTGCCTGCCCCTAGTGTGGGGCATCTCTCTATGGCTGCTCTGCTTTCAGCTGTACTTTTCACCTCTCTCGTGCGTTCAAGAAGAAACGCAAGCCAGCGCGGTACTTTTTAAAAATGAAGGTCTGATTAAACTAGGGATTTTTAGGTTCAACTGTCCGCATCAGTTCACTTACCAGCTGCCTTGTGAGAATTCACTGATAAGATGCCCTAATGGAGAAGTATCAAAGAAGGTAAGCCTGTTAATGTGGCCGATCTACTTGCCTCTGCTTCGCACACTAATGCGAACAGAAATCCAGAGTGTGTACCCTCAGTCACTACTCACTTGGCCACTAGGGGAATAAAATACTTTGAGATGCTGGAAAGACGTATTTATAAAGCTCACGCTACTCTTTCAAAGGTACCTAACCCTAACATGGATGACAAAGAAGGATTTAGGCAGACTTTAGGTTCTTGAACTTCTCCTTACACAAGTTAAAACCACACAAATTTTCTATTTTTTATGACTTTAGCATCAATAGGTAAGACTCAGGCAGCAGTACAGTACTTAGGACTGCATCATCTAAGCACCATAACATCTTCAATTTGCTTATAACCACAACATACTAGTAAAGTACCTACCCTGATACATAAAACATGTATGAAAAAAAATCAGAAAGCGACACTCAGAATTCCCAGGTCCAAGGGAAGTAAGCACTAGATAATCACTCCTCTGACAACACGGAAACGAGAAACCATGAATTGCCAAAAAATATAAAACAGTAACAACAACTTCAAAAGTTTGACTTTGGCTTTGACTCTTTTTCACTCTAAATTACAGCATGAAAGTAGGAAAAAGCCCATATAATTTGCAGATTTTTAAAGGTGACCTTCAAAAACAGTGCACTGAATATGCGATAAAAAATGCTGAGGGACAGTGAAATGAAGCTGTCATATATGGAACAGAGATACAATACAGGAGATTTTAATTAAAAGAAGGTAAAATGGGAGGGAAGGGGGAGGGTGGGGAAGCCGGGCATCCATCACCAAACAGCTAAGCACACAAGCTGCAGTCTTGCCTAAAATTTAGAAATAATAGATGCCTGCACAATTGCTTCTCTGGAGGGACAATATGGACCATAACAAACACAGGTGTGTAGCATGTAGCTAGAATACAAGTAGAAAGAGCTTAATATAATACAAACTAGGCAATCATGATGTTGTGTACAAAACGTCGACATTGTTTAAAATATAAACAGTAATTACCGGGATACATTACTTATATGACTCCTTTATTGGGACCCAAAGAAAATAACTTCCCATCTTCAGCAGATTCTTGAAAACCCTGAACTATCCAAGCCATCAACATCACACTTCCAGTCAGTGTTGTCTAGCTGTCCCCTGCTTCTGTGCTGCTCTACATCTGTCCCAGTTACTTTGCTTTACAGATCCCATCTCATTTATCAAACTGTCATATGAAATAAAACAGTAACAAAAAAAGAACACCACCCATTTCATTTGTCTGCAAAGCTATTTATAGGTATTTGGTATTAGATTT